TCCATGTCCCAATAGGTCAACTGCAAACATGTTGTACTTATTAGCCTTTTCGGATTCAGACAGCTTCGGAAAAAGAGTTTTTGTCCAAAACGATGAAGAACTGAGAATCCCATGTATGAATATCACGTTTTCACTTGAATTTGTATTTGCGTTTTCCTTGGAATCTTCTCCCATTGCTGCCACATAGTAATTGAAGTAAAAAATGTTAGTTTAACACCTTAAAAAAAATTATGTTTTCGTCCTTTCGTCCATCCCTGGTGTAATTACATACCTTTTGAAGAAGACTGTTTCACCACAACATGAAGCTTGGGATCATCGACCTTCATCCAGGAGATGCAAGAATCACATCCACATTCAGACCATCTATCTCCCAATCTATGAATACCAAGTTTCTTTTTGTTGTTAAAATCACAATAGGCTGCTTCAAAACCTTTGTTTTTGTTCAGTAACTTCTCCACAAACTCGATCAAATCAATCATTTCTTTTAGCTTCTTTTGCCTCCCATGCAAAGTCTCAGAAATCCCATTTTCCTCATCGTCATTGATGGTCTCACTCTTGTTCTTGCTTCTGCAATAACATGGAGGTGCCTCACCTTCCAACAACAGATCAAGGTATTTGTAAACCACACAGAAAACGGAATCGAGAAAGTCGAGATATGAAAATACAAGGAAATTTGGAGCTGAGATTAGGTTTTTGGTGCAGTTTCTCGTCCATTTTCTTAGGAAAAATGAGCTGGAAAGTGGAAGAGAAGTGTTCATGTTCGCAACAACCATGGTTGACAAAAAAGCTAAATTACAACGTTAAGGCTTAAAGGCCTTAGCTTGGGATAGGAAGCGCTTTTATACTCAAATCTGGATTTGTAAATTGTTATATTTCATAAATGATTATAGAAATTAATTTTATTAAATTTATGGTTATTTTGAAAATTAGAAAAGATGGAAGAGATTGTGAAGAAATTAAATAAATAAAAAAACAGAAGGAATTTATATGAAACATGCTACAACTAAAACTAGAAGTAAAATAATGGTTTGCATACTGCATTAAAGATAAAATATTAACAAAGAATATTGGCATGTGAGCCATACATTATAAGAAATTAATTTGGCATTAATTTAAAATCCACGTTGAATGAGAGAAATATTGAACACTATAAATTGGGTAAATTTTAAAATTTCTCAATAATAATAATAATAATAATAATAATTTACCAATTTCATTAATTCATTTTTTTCATTTCCATTGCAATTATATCTAAATAATTGTTTGAAAATAAGTAATTAATGTCTAGTTTATACTTTGATAAATTCTTAACTTAATTTCATTTATTTTTTGTCTGAAATAGAGGTTTATCTTTTATTCAAAACTAAAATAAGAGTGCAAACAATTTCTGAAGATACATTTAAATTGGAACATTATTACTATTTTTTTCCTTTTTCATAATGAAAAGCGTGGAGATCTTTCGAAACTTGAAACAAAAATCTGATCTAATTAATCGTTGGCATATATCAAACTAACTAATTTTAAAAATAAATAAATAAATTTTAATAATAACGTATTGGGATCTTTTGTCTAAAGGATCAAAAGAATCATGTTACATCCACATGTTGGGTTGGTCAATGTTGATACGTCTATCTTTTGTTCAAGAAATTGAAAATTTATCAACCTAATTTAATTTTTAATATATATTTAAACAACTCATTATTCAGCATGGAAAACACATTTATGCTAAAAACTCATTTAAAAAATAACACAATATTAAGATTTTGAGTTTTATACGTTTTTATAAATAATTAAGTTTAATGGGGAGATTAAAGCTTATATATATATAAGGGGTTGTTTGCTTCGAAGAACATACCATTACCGGAGGGAATAATACTTTTCGGAATAACATTCTAACATGTGGTTTGCCATCATTCCCTTTTGGCGGTAATAACTTGTTATCAATCGTTGTACTTTTTGTTTAAAACGGTGAGAATATCATTCCCTTTTGGCGGTAATAACTTGTTATCAATCGTTGTACTTTTTGTTTAAAACGGTGAGAATATCATTCCCCAAATTCTTAGTTCTTTGACAATTCTTGATATTTTATATAAGATTACCCATGAAACAATGAGTTGTTTTTAGTAATTTACTTAAAATTATATACATAATAATAATATACAAAAAGTTTGATTTAATAAAAATATTAATAAAATTAGATAATTAAACTTGTTATATAGTATTTTATATTTTTAGTAATTAATATATTAATTGTTTATAATTTTATGAGTTAGAATAATAGAACTATTTCAAAATGATATTTTTTGTGCAGAATTATACCGGCATAAATATATTTTATTTTTTATTATGGTTCTAAAATTATTTCAATACTTATTACAAAATAATACAAAGCATATAAAATAAAAAATGTAAAAAAAACTATATCAAATTTCTATTTTATTTTGAGTATTTATTGTATATTTGTTATGTATATTTGTTTGATTCAAGTTTTATTTATCCATAGTACCTTTATTGTAAACTAAAGGGGTGCTGTGATGTGAGAAGATCTTGAACTACATTATGATGCTTACTTGTTTTTGTTTTGTCGATGCATATATGTTGTTCATGACTACACTTTTTAGCATGCTCATATGATGAATTCATGTAGTATAGTAGAGTTATTTGTATGACACTGAGAATGATAACGTTTGGAATGTGTTTTCATTCTAAGGTTCATAGGTGAACATTCGAGGAGCTTATCATCGGGTTCAAGATACTATATAGACCGAACTATTAGAGTATGTCTTGAGTATTATTAGTGGATATGTACTATTTGGTGACCTTATGTGTATTCGAGTCGTAGCTCTATGTTGATATACTTGATATTATTTTGAGATGTACTATTGGTATTTATTATGTTTTAAACACGTGAATTTGATTATGATTATCATGGTTATGGTTATTCATATTGGATTATTGATTTTGAAAAAATGATTAATCACTTCAGTGATTCTATATGACACTCTAATTCTTCGGGTTTAGGTTGGATTAGATTAAGGTGTTATAGTTTTCATTTAACCTTGTAGTTCATGATATTTAGAGTGCTCCTATTGAACTCACTGAGCTTTTGAAGCTCACTTCGTGTTTGTTGATATTTTACAGATACTATTTGATTCATTAACGCCAGAGTTGGTTTGCATTTCGGTTCGAGCAAGACAAAAACAAATTGGGTGTAATAAGGCTTACGTTGAACTTTAAAATAACAATGTGGGCTCATTAAGACACTCTGACGTTACTTTGTTGTTTTTGCATTAAGTTTGGGAATTTCTAAAAATTTGGTTGTTTGTTATTGTCTTGCAATAATTTTTAGTATTTAGAACGTGTTAAACATTGAATTGGCGATGCTGAAGATTATAGTTAAAGTAGGTCATAGTTGTTTAAAACGGAAGTGTGATAACTAGTAGACGATGCATTTGTTATTTATTCCTGGAAATTGATTTTAATAGTCATTACTACGTATTTGTCCATTTGAGGCATATGAAAGAGTTGAATGCCTAATTTGGATGTGTTATAATTTTAAAATCCATGATTTGGTGTAATTTAGTAATTATACTAAAATTGGCAGAAAAAAAAAAAGAAACATTCATTGGCATCTTTAACGGTTCATTTTAATTTTTTAACATTTTTATTATGTTAGAATCATGTTATGAGCATGTTAAGAGCAAGTTTAATATTTTACAATTTGATCCTTTTGATCTAGACCTAGCAAACTTGATATGAACCCAATTATTATGAATCAATTTGCCTAACCTGATACGCAATTTAGACCCAAGCATAATAATTTAAACTTGATCCAAAATTTGAAAAAATCAAACCAAACCAAAGTCAACCTAAATTTTAGTTGGAACGATATGTACCCATATTCAATTTGAGTCATATACTGAGAGTTTTGGAGATACACCGAATTTTGGGATACATGTGATATCATTTACTTGTACTCTTTGAATTCTTTATGTTTATGGCGGGATTATTGTTCATCTCGCCAATTGAGGTAAATAAAGCCGACCCACGTTAAATCTCGTCTTTTATTTTATATTGATATCGTTTTAGTTATTTTTCTACTTCCATATTCCTAACAAGTACAATGCACCCATTCCCTGCCAAACGAAACAAGAAAGATAACAAACACTTCCCTTTCGCATTGCTACACGTCCAACTAAGCTCCAAACTCCAATCCATGACGGACCTAGACAGATTACAAGCTCCCAAAACCCACTCCCAAATGCCTTTTGAGTAAGCACACTAAAAAGGGAAATGATCTCGAGTTTCCAACAGATTCGGACATAACAAACACTTTCCATTAAAACTCCACCCAAAAGAGATGAGGCGATTTTTCGTTGGGAGTCTATCCAACACCGCCATCCAAGTGATTACGGAATTTCTTGTTATATGGCTTGAGTGCCATACCAACCAATTTCAAGGGATTTTCTCCCCTTACACCAGCATGGCACTCCAAATAGTAGCCACCGAAGCAGCAGGTCCAATAAGACCACTTACAACCGCAGCAACTTTCAACCGCAATTGTAGCAGGCGCGTACACAAGCAGCTGGGCCGAATGGACCCTTAAGCCTAAACTAAGCCCATTGAAAGAGCGAAGATTTTGGTTGTTTTTAACCACTTGATAGATTCAAGAGTATTTCATTCTTTAAATTCAAGTAGTGTTTGTTAGTTTTCTATAAATGACCAATATTTATGCTGACAAGTATACGGCTAAACTCATTGGATACTTTTTTAATGGACTGAAGAGGAATGAAATGTTGACCTACTTTGACAAAAAAAAAATCAAGCACCTAAAACCAAAAAACAAAAAACACTTATTTTTCAAATAATCCTAATAATAATAACTAAAATCCAGCTTCAATCTCAAGATAAGTTTCTTCTGCCATTGTTAGAAGTTCAAACCAAGTAAAGAAAAATGTTGAAACGGTACACCTTTCTGGCGAAAAAGTCCTATTCTTCTCTAATGAATAGAATTGCTACAAACAGCATGATGAGATGTTTCAAAAAAATGTATCATATAAAAATGCAAAGTTGCGTTTATTACCTTAGTTACTATCAGTTTCTTTTTTTTCCAGACCCGAATTAACATCCGGAATATTTCTACGATGCTGTTGAGATGCCAACCTCCTCTCCAGCGGTGTTTTCCGCTTGCTTACGACAAACCTATTAACCCCTTTCCTCATTGGCATTATGGACGGGAAATCCTCGTCGGGGATCTGGCTGAGCTCAGAAATGTCCTTTATCTGAGCAACACGGCGAAACCACCTCTCTGCTTTGGCATCCTCCGACATGTCCAAAGGATCTGGTTCCTTCACTGCTGAACCTTCCAAACTCTTTCCACTCCAAGTACTCCTAACATTCTGATACCCAGACTGTGGGGTTGAACTTCCCGGCAAATCTGTCACCTGTTTCCTACTGTCACTACTACTCGTTTGGGGATTGAGAGAATTTTGGTTTGAATATCCACTAGTCTGTGCCGGATAAGTTGCGTCTCTCCTCATCTCACTTGAGTTTCCTCCAGAAGGTTTCAAGATCCAGCTTTGCATCTGTTGATTTTGCATTGGCTGCATATCATCTGTAACAGACATCTCGGATAATTTATCTGAAGGCTGCCCTGGTGTCACAGAGGTTGAAGTTTCATCAGTTGCTTTTGCACTAGAATCTGTTCCATTTGTCTGCGGTTTATCCTTCTTAGCAAAGTAGTCAGGTGGGAAGGGGACAAAGGGAACATAATTGGTATTGCTAGCTTGCTCGGTTTCCACACGCCTCTTGTAAGTTGGAGAAGTCGGAGAACGGTCTTTCTTTCTGCTGAAAACAAATTTGTTCTCTCCTTTGCGCATGGGCATGATTTTGGGGAAGTCCTCATCAGGAATTGCAGTGTCAAGATCGGTAACATTATGGAGCTCTGCAACCTTCTTCAACCATCCCTCAGATTTTTCAGCTTGTTCTACCTCTTTATCGATGCTTTCTTTCTCAGAATGTTGCTGAATTCGTAGACACTTCTGCAAATCCTCACTCCCAGAAACAGCATCCACTTGTCCAACTGTGTTTGAAACATCAGTGTTGTGTTCATTCGATACATCTTTTCGACTATCCTGTATCTCCAAATTTTCAGGTTTCTTCGCAAACATATCTGCTGGTAATGGTACAAAAGGAACGTAATTAGACTTGGTTCCTCTAGGATGACCATCCTGCATTGTAGTAGACACAGGAGCATTTTCCGCTCCAGTATTGATGCTAGCTTCATTAGATCCCAAAGTGCTGGAAGAACGACCAAGAACCTCATCTAAACTCCGATTAACTTGGGCATCCAAGGTTTTATTTACTTCCCCAGTCTGATAATTGTTACGATCAGGAATGCCATCATTATCCATGTTCCTACGGTACTGAGCATCAGCCAACCTCCTCTCCAGAGGAGATTTCCTTGTACTCACAACGAATCTATTAACACCTCTCCTCAAAGGCATGATTTCTGGGAAATCTTCATCTGCTATGGCAGAGCTCATATCTGTCCCGTCAAGCTGAGAAACCTTACTAAACCATCGTTGCGCCTTCTCTTCATTGGCAGCTAAGCGCCTATCAAGATCAACCTTATTTGAAGTCTCATTGATGGATGCTAAAGCTGGTCTCGAGTACGTATTACCAAGTGAGATCTGTCCTGGACGTTTGCAATCACACCTCAAGCATACTGTATTCCTCCCATAATTAAAGAAATCACATCTGTAAAAAAAAGGTGAATACATTAAAATTACAATATTAATTCCCAAAAAGAAAAGAGAGTAAAAAGAAATGCTCACTGGGGACACTCCCACTCTCCACCAGTCAATTGCCGCTTGGGCCGTGCTTCCTCGCACTCGAGGCATTTCACGTTTCTTGCAAAGTTCATAAAATTACATCTGCACAAAGAATGAAATATTATGCCGCCATAACTCTTTAGCACCATTCAATCATAGGTAACATGGAGCACATGCGATTGTTTACAAATATGTATAGTAACTGATATCCTTAATATCACTATTCCAAAAAAACACTCCAATACAGGATTGGATCTAATCAGACGGATCCAATACAGGATTGGATATAATCAGAAGGACACGATTCTTTCAACAACAAAAAAAGCACCCGCTAAGTATAGTCTCCGCTAATTGTTTCATTAAGAAAAGATTTCTACAGATGTATTGGCCGTGAAGTTTCAAGAATGCACATATGCTCGGTGCTTGTATAGAAGAGTAGAAAGTATATAATCATTGGCTTCTTTGACGATGACAAAAAAGGGAAATAACACTAGACTACCTATGCAGATGATAAAAAAAGACCTACCTAGGGCAAATCCAGTCACCTCTTTTCATTTCAATATTTGGTCCAAAAGACCTTGCCATTTGTCCATTTTTCTCATGTTCGGAGTAGTTTGAAACTGGCAGACTGTCACTCAGTTTTGCCAACTCGCCCAGCAAATGACGGACAGAAGATTCAACAAGCTCTGTGTTGTAGAGACTGGTTCTATCCAACGAAGAGGTAACATTGCTTGCATAACTCAATAAAAACCTCATTAAATCAACAGTGTTTGCTTTATCAACATCTGCAACCTAAAAACTGAATAATATTTAGTAACATAGCACATACTAGTTTCAAAGCTCTGAATTCAACAGCATCAGTGATGGAAAAAGGGACTTCATTTTTACTTAATCTCAAAAAGAACATATACAACCACACAAGATTCATACTTATAAACACTTAGTGGAGGCCCTACTATGAAAGAATCATCCTATGGGAACTATTTCACATACAAATTAGAATACAAGATTAACAGACTAAAACCCTTCATTTCTAACATAGAAATATAGAATTAACAATGATCAACAACCAAAACCCTAGAATTTTAGATACTTTGGTTTAAAAGGAAGTTTGAACTTTGAATAACAAGAATTTTTGTGAAGACCCTCTGTTCTAGTACCCATATATATACCACTAAACAAAATCAACGGTACTTACATTGCTTTCACCGCTATTTAGGAAAACCAACAACCTTCTTGCGGACTCCTCCCCATCCTTGAACAAGAAAGGCTTCCCGTTTTGCACCACCACCTCAATCTCCTTCCTCGAAAGCAATCTGATCATAAAACCCATTGCAAAAGGAGGGGGGATACTTAAAAAATGACGAAACCGACATGATGTAAGCAAAATTTTGATTTGAACTTTCACTATTGGTACCTTAGAAGGTCCGTTTTATCACGCGCGAAAGCCAAGCAGGCATTCAGCACAACTAGAAACTCATATGGGAACTGGGAAGCATCCGCCGCAAGCTCATCGGAGGTATGATGGGAATTGAAGTAGCCAGCGGCCGAGATGTTGTTAAGAAGAGCGGAGAATTCGGGCCATGAATGATTGGGAGGGGCCAAAAAGGAGGAACTGGCGAAATTTGAGGCGGCGGTTTGGTAGTGGAAATGGCGTGGTGAAAGCCTGGGAAGAAACAAGGACGTGTATTTTTTGTTTTCAGTGATGGGTAGCAAAGGACGGGGTGGCGGAAAGTGATGTCGGCGGAAGAAGGATAGCCGCATGCGATGGCGTGTGAGGCGGAGGAGGGAGGAGATGGGGCGGTGGTGATGCAGGAGGAGAGGGGAAGAGGGAGAAAGGACCATTAGGAACCTACCGCTGCTGCCCCTCTTTATATTCTTTTATTATACACAAGTTGGCATTAGGGATAGAAGTTGTGATGAAAAAGGCGGGAGTGGTGGCTGTGAGCCTAGTACAGCGGGAGTGGTGGCTGTGAGCGGAATACAGCGGAAATGAGTTGTCGGGCAAAACCCTTGAAACCTATAATCAGGGTTTGGGTGGTGAACGAAGAAGAGGGTATTATCTTCTGGCATCCTGGCGTCTGGCTATGAAGCAAATACTAAAGATTTTTTTTTCTTTGTCCTGATTCTAGAAAAATTTATTAATATTTAAAAAATGATTAATATAAAAAAGAGTAAAGTATAATAATGGTCACTGAACTTTTCTAAAACTTTCATTTAGATCCCCTAACTTTTAAAACTTTCAATACAATCCTCTAACATTTAGTCCGTTTGTAATATGGTCCACGACCGTTAAATGCCGTTAGTACGTTTGCAATATGATCACTGAATTTTTTAGGCGCTTGCATTTAGGTCCCCCAACTTTTAAAACTTGCAACACAATCTTTAATTTCATTCTAAACCCCAAATTCCTTTTTAATCTCAAATTTCCTTTTTTGTTTCTCTCTTCTCATTTCCAGCGTAACTTTTCAGTTGGGGATGCATGAGAAATTTTAATTTAACTTTGAATTATGTGGTGGTGTTAACTTGAATAAGGGTGAGAAGACCCGACCAAGGGACTATCGGGACCAGGGTTTCAAATCGCGGTCGCGTTTTCAATTATTTCGGATTTACCGTGATTGCGGCCGTCGCGGGCGCTATTACGTCTGTTGCAGACGCTATTGCGACCGTCGCGGGTAACTCGGACGGCGGCGAAACTACTACATCACGGCCGAAATCAGGGTCGCAGACCGTTTTTTAAAACCCTGATCGGGACCATCAACGATTCAAGGTGTAATGTTAGATACAAGTCATCTCAGGTGATGCATAGAAGTTAGATGAAATGATTATGAGAAAAAAAATGAGGTTAGAAATGCAGAGTTGACAAATACTACTAAGATGAACTAAGTATCATTGTTGAAAGTCACCCACAAAGCTAGAATTATTTTGTATAAATGACATAATAATTTCTTTGTTTAATCCTTGTGGTTAAAGATTTTCCAACAGATGATCAAATATAATGAAATCCCAAACAACACATTCAACTCTCAGTCTCTTTCGCTCACATACACTCTCGTTGGTTTTTGTTCTTCAATTTTCCACTATGTAAAATTGTAAACTCAAGCAGTGCTCTGTCTTTCAGCTTTTTATTTACAAAGAAAAAATGGAGGAAGAATTGCTGGAACGCAACACCGATTGCGTTTATTTCTTAGCATCTCCCCTCACTTGCAATAAGGTATTTATTTTCTCTTTTGGGCTATATGGAAGTAACCTTTTTCTCTTTCGTACTTTTCCATTTTCAGCTCGCATTGTGTGTGTTTTTGTTGAAATTTTTATGTTTAAGGAGTCAAGGATCTGGATATTCAATGTTTGTTTTGAACCAAAACCATCTAATTTTCTTTCCTTATTCTTAATCAAAACTTTTAGTACTCTTTATGAAAGATATTCAGTACATTAGAATATAAACGAAAGAGGGTCCTAGGCTAAATTTTTTTGATCTTCTTGTTTGGTTTTTCTTTAAATCAGAGAATTGGTTATGAGTATCGACATAGTGAAATCGCCAGGCTTAGTCCGAGAGATTGCTGGTACTAGTTTACTGGAATTGTATTGATCTGACCTGTGGTTTTCGGCGTCCTGTAAGCTCGTATTCTTTTTAATAAGTTCATGTTGATTATGGGACTGATATATTGTGAACGAATTGGATTTTTTTATATGTTTTTAAATTTTATAGTTGAATTTGTATTGAATTATAGCTTTAGAAGACAATTCTGCATGCATGCAACTCGAAAGGCATCATGTCAGGGTAGTTTATTTAGAGCAGCTACTTGATATATTGCCCGGTCATTGCACATTTGCACCTTCGTTTATGGCATATATATGTTTGTTGCAGTGTCCTCTATGTTTTACAATGTCTTTTATTGGTGATATGCCATGAATTTACAATAATTATGGGGTCCTATGATTTTAGTTCCGCTATATGTTTTAGATTATCATCATGTTTGGCTATTGAGGAACATTAAACATGGAGCATTAGAAGCAATTATAAGTTAAAAGGGTAGGCCATTATGCATTTGCAACTGGTCATGTTGTATTTGGCATCTAATGTCTATCTTAAACAACTCATTTGACGCCTTTGCTTTTGGAGTGACTATGACCGAACCTCTTTCCCTTTATTTATAAGTCCTCCTTTTGAATGAGTTATTAATTGATATTCTTGGTTTATTTTAGTTATTTTTTTGTTGTATGTTGTAGTCCTATGAACTAAAACTCTTTACTATTTTCGCAGTCGTTGGATGTGCATGCTCAAATTCCATCTAAACCTATTGGATTTTCATACCAAAGTGTGGTAGTTACGAACAAGATAAATTGACCTTGTTACTTTTACTTCAACGGTTTATGCAATAAACGTGATAGATGAACTTTTCATGTTCAAAGAGCGACAGCCATTGGATGTGCTTGCAATAAACCTCAAATTTATATTGAAGTAAACACTGTCAAATAACAAATTCATATTCAAAATTCCAAAACACTTCAATTACATTCTAAATCCCAAATTTCAAAATACTTTAATTACATTCTAAATCCTAAATTAAAGTATTTTAGAATTTACAGTTTAAAATATAATTGAATTATTTTGGAATTTGGAGTTTATAATGAAATTGAGGACTGTGTTGCAAGTTTTAAAAGTTGGGGGCCTAAATGTAAGTGCCTGAAAAGTTTAGTGATCATATTGCAAATGTACTAACGGCAGTATAACGGTCGGGGACCATATTGCAAACAAACTAAATATTGGAGGATTGTATTACAAGTTTTAAAAGTTGGGAGACTTAAATGAAAACTTTAAAAAAGTTCAGTGATCGTTACTATACTTTACCCTATTAAAAATATCTGAATTATATATTTTTCATTTAAGTGTCTAAATTTCTTTTGATCTATTTAAATGTCTAACGTTTCTAATATTATCACTCAAGTGCCTCAACTATATCAAACGTTAAAAAAATTCTTTTAACCAATAGAATGTGACATGTGACACATTTATATATTTTTAAAATTTTAATTTTAAAAAACTTATTATTATCATAATTATTCTAAAAACTTCTAAAATCTAAAACAAAATCCAAAATCCTTAATCATAATGCATCCACCCCACTCGTCAGTCGTCCACCGTTGTTGTCGTCCCCATTGACAACCTACATATTGGTCGACGTTAATCGTGGCTTTAAAATCCCTAAATCCAGATTCTTAAATTCAAACCCTAAATTTCAACATCCATTCATCCTAATCGATGGATAGTCAACGAGTTAGTGGTCGACGAGTGAGTCGATGATTGCATACAGTGATGATGGTCGATGTCAAAATTGAAAGTCTTTGAGCATTTTATTAAAAATAGGAAATTTTTGGGGTTTTTTTTGAAAATTTGTGAGTTTTATTTTTTTTTTAAATTTAAAGAAAATAAAAAAATCAAGCCACGTGTCAAATACTGATTGATTTACTTATTTTTAATGGATCTTTTTAACGGCTATTACGGCGTAGACACCTAAATGATAATATTATAAACGTTAGGTACCTAAATTGACAAAAAAAAGTTTAGGAACCTAAATGGAAAAGATATATAGTTTGAACTCTTATTTTTATATTAAGCCTTTTAAAAATTCAAAAAGGATATTTAAACATTTTAAACTTAAGCACGAACCAAACGATTTCAGTGGTAAAAAAATTATTGTTATTCTTTGAGGTCCCTGGTTAGAGTACCATGAATGCTAGAGATTTGAACGTTTAATATCAAATTATTGAGAGTTTATCTTTGAACAAATATTACATTATATTTACCTTATATCAATTAAAAAAATATTTGATACAAATAATATCTTGACTATAGAAAATTGGTATATTTACGCTAAATTAAAAATAAACGAGCTTAAAGTTTTTGTATATTTAGGCTAAATTAATTGTTTTCCCATGATATATATATATATATATATTCTAAAAATTAAAATTATATGAAAATTATATCAATTTTAATGTTAATCGTCGATAGCTAGTATTCATTAATTTTTTCTTTATCTTATTATATTGTATCTTTATTTTTTTTTTGTTTCTATTTTTAATAATGTTGTCTTTATGATACATGTTTCTACGTCTTTATGATACGTTTTTTTGTCTTTTGGCATTTTTTTATCGTTTAACTATTTATTTATTTATCATTTTTCTCAGGATTGAATTTGACATCGTCACAACTGATCAATAAAACACTTATATTTTATCATGCTAAACTTCCTTGCTTTCGAATCTCATACTGGATTTAGATACGCTATTTGCGTTCGTTGATAGTTTTCTCAAGTCGCTCGACTCTGGTTTACGAGTTGTCGGTGATATTTCAATAGCATAATCCTCTTTGTGGTTCGTTTATCGATACAATTAAGTCTTACTAAAATTGACCGAGCCAACACTTCTTCCGAAATCCTACTTGGTCGACCCTTTCTAAGAACGGCATATACTAAAATTGACGTTAGGAATGGAATTCTTAATGGAATTTGACGGTGATGTTGTTAAATTTGATGTATATAAATTGATGAAGCATCCCGATTTTGTGGTAAACATTAGCTTTGTTGATATAATCAAACCTTCTGAACATAATTTTTTTGATAAGTTACAAGAACTCAAATAATGAAAGTGCGAAGACAATGAAATTGGATATCACTTCTAATGTAGACTCACGATCATCTTGCAAAGAGCTAAGTAAAATTTCAGATTTGATGCCTTCTAAATCTAAACTTTTCTCATCCATTTCCTAAGTATCAAATTTGGAGATAAAATCGTTGCTGAAACATTTGAAGAACACGTTTTTTGGGTAAAGAAGATACTTCACCAATTATTATTTCGGACAAGCTTTCAAAGATGAAAAAGATCATAAGAAAAGCTTATGAGAATGTCATAATCTACAAAGTTAAAATGAAAAAAATTCTATGACAGTAGAATTTCTTAGTTGGACAATATTGTGCAGAAAATATATCTCAAAGAAATTGTAGTGTGAAACAGGTTATCGAGCTAAACGACGTTAAATAAAAGCACTAT